AATAGGCAAGAAACTCTTAAAGAACAAGATAAGAGGACTTGATCTATTAAATATAAACTCTTATTACAAAACTACGGTTGGTATTGGTTCAAAACTACAGTGTGGTATTGGTACAATAATTTATTAACAAAGGGAATAGACTAAAGGACCCTAAATAGACCACACATTTGGGCACTTGATTTATAATAAAAGTAGACTCACTGGGTAGTGAAAACACAATGGCGTTTCTGCTGAGTTATGCCAGACTAAATGTATGTCCACCAAAAAATGTCTTAAATACAACTGGGCTCCTATTTTACATAGTATGCAAAAATTCATTTCCAGTGACTATTAGATATAAACTCGGAATTTAAAATTGTGAAGTTTCTAGAAAATAATACAGAAATCCTTATAGCCTTGTAAAAGGAAAAGGCTTATTTATCAGCCCAGGCACATTAAAGCCCCGCTATCAGGGAAATGAATCTATACAGGATTTAGATATTAAAATTAAAAACTGCTGCTCTCATTAAGGAACTGAAAAGGCAAGAAGGCAAATCTAGATTTTACCACACTTTTAACAAACAATGGCCTCATATCTAGACTATTACAAAATGCCTACAAAACAGTAATCCCCGAAAGAGGTTTCCGTAGTGTAGTGGTTATCACGTTTGCCTCACAAAACAACTCAGCTGAAAATGGCCCCAAAACTTGATCAACTATGTCATGAGGCATTTCAAAATGGCCAATAAATATAAGAGAAGGCACTCAATGTCATAAATCAATAAACAAATTAAAACAGTAACACAATATTACCACAAAACCAGCAAAAGAATATGGGGCACCTGTACCAGGAAACAGTTCCTAAACAGCCGCTTTCCAGCAGCCATAAAGCCTCAATGCTCCATCAAGGTTCCACCAACAACGCAGCAAATAAGCAGGGGATAAATAAATTATAGCTCATTCTAACAGCAGTTTTCACAACACATGGAAAACTGAACAGACTAGAGTCACAAGCATCAGTATTCATTAATACCATCTACACAGCACAGAGGGAACAAATCCAGACACAAATCCATACTCCATGATCCCATTTCATTCCTTTCTCAAAAGAGCAAACAAACAAAAAGACAGAACCAAAATTTTGTGTTTAGGATGTACTCTTCGATGGAAAATATAAGAAAAGCAAAGACATATTTACCAAATAGCATCAGCTATATCTTACCCTTAAGAGACAATGAGTGTTGTATTCAAGTGAGAGTTACATGGGAACTTCTCTGGAGCTGCTAATATTCTCCTGTTCTTAAATCCTGGTATTGGTTGTAAATGTTCACTTTGTGATAAATTCTTATATGATGTACCTTATTTAGTTGATTTTTCTGTATGCTCATAAAATTTCAGTTAAAAGGGATTAGGTAATTCAAATGAATGAACAACAGAAAGCCCTCCCTGCCTTAGTAACTCCACATATTGTCTCCAAGGGAGAATAGAATAGCTTATTTTTTGCTTTTATTTTTTACATTTACTTTTAAACAGACAAGTGTCCTCACTTTGGCCCAATATTTTATATACTTTTAGTTTGTATACCTTTCTGTTCTTTTCATTTTTTTGAGAGAGAGTCTCATGTAGGCCAGGCTGACTTCAAGTTCCCTATGTAACTGAGGATTACCTTGAACTCTTTATTAAAAAAATATTTTGTTTTTTTTATTTTTATTTATGTATGTGTGCCTGTGTCAGTGTATGCCACTTGTGTTTGAGTGCTTGTGATGGACAGAAAAGGGTGTCAGATCCCCGGCAGCCGGAGTAACAGACAGTTGTGAGCTGCCCAACATGGGTGCTAGAAACCAACCATGGGTCCTCTGGAAGAGCAGTACTCTCTCTTAAGTGCTGAGCACTCTCTCCAGCCTGAGTTTTTTTTTTTTTTAAGTCATCTTTACACATTTTTTTTTTAATTTGTGTTGTGTGTGTGTGTGTGTGGGGGTGTGTGTGTGTGTGTGGGGGTGTGTGTGTGTGTGTGGGGGTGTGTGTGTGTGTGTGGGGGTGTGTGTGTGTGTGTGGGGGTGTGTGTGTGTGTGTGGGGGTGTGTGTGTGTGTGTGGGGGTGTGTGTGTGTGTGTGGGGGTGTGTGTGTGTGTGTGGGGGTGTGTGTGTGTGTGTGTGTGTGTGTGTGTGTGTGTGTATACACATGCCCATTCACTTGTATGCCATGGCACTATGTGGAAGTCAAAGGACAACTTTCAGGAGTAGGTTCTCTCCTTCCACCATGTGAGTCCAGGAGATCAAACAGGTCCTCAGGCTTGGCCTCAAGTACCTTTATACACTGAGCCATCTCAGTGGCCTGACCCTGAACTCTTGGAGTGCTGGGATTACAAGCATGCACCATCATACCCAGCTTATGTGACACCAGGAATCAAACCCAGGGCTTTGTGCATGCTAGGCAAGCACTCTACCAACTGAGATACATCTCTAGCCCTAACTTCTTACCAAGGACCATGGAGCACTCCTACCCAGTTCATACTGGGCAGGCTTCCTTGGTCCAGACAATGTACAGTATATTAAAAAAGTTCTAAGATCTTCTGGAAAATCTCCAACAACTGACACCCAAAGCCTGCTCTTTCATCCTCTCTTCACAGGCCCATCCTTTCATTTCCTCGGGCCTCAGCTCAACTACCACTTACACAAGAGAATTTTTCCTTTCCCCTCACTGCCACCCTATACCTGGTGGCCAAGACTAAGAAAGAAGCCTGTGCTAGTTATTTTCAGTTGGCCTCCACTTCCTGGTTCCTTCTTTGAGGGTGCTGATCTCAGGGGACACCATCTGTCTAGCTGGCTTTTGTTGAAGTCCACTGGGTTGACCACCATGGCAGAAGCTAGGCGGAGGGGACAGAAGGAGCACAGGGTAAGTCCACCTTCTTCCTGGGGCATCTTTCTGGCAGGAGGAGGCTTCCTCCAAGCTGGAACAGCTTCTCCCTTGCTCCAGCAATCACAGTCTCTAGTAAGATCCTTGCTGCTTGTTTTTCAGTCCTAAGATGTTAATAGCTTTCCCTGCCTTGCTTCCCACTGGCTCAGATAATGAATACAGCCTCTGTCACCATGAGTTTTTTCATTAAACGCTCCTAATCTGAACTAAGTTGGATTCTGCTTGTTGCTGAGCTACTGCATACTAGCAATCTGACATTCATTACATGATTATTTTATCATCTGTCTTCTGTTAGACTGTGAGCATCATGACAGTGGCACTTCAGAAGTTGCCAATAAACACTTGTTAATGACTTAGCAAGTTAATGAATGAACTTACATCAGAACACACTAGACATAGTACAAGGATTTCTATAATGTTCCTGCCACGTTTGAGAGGGTACCAATTTATCAGACCAAACATTTTATCACAGTTCGATGAAAACAGTTTTTGATGGAATATTTGTACTCATGAAGATAATTTCAGTTGTTCAAGAAATAACATCTGCAATAGAGGTGAGTTCTCAACTAAAAAAGATATAATTTTATCTACCTAGAATGTCATCTACCGCAAGATTCTAAGTGTATAACAATGTGAAACCCAGTGGGCTCTCACCCAAAGATGAAAATAAAGACTCCCACTCTGTGGGAAAAATAAATAATCAGTGGATCCTGGCATAGAAGGCTAGCCTCAACAGGAAACGTTCTTTGTTATTATGATAAATTATTCACATCTTGCTATCCTAGGTATAAAGAGGGCAGCCTAGGCAGATTCCAGTATTAGATAGGCAAGTAATGCATTAAAATCTACAGTTAGGTAACTTCCACAAAATGAACTGGAACATTCTGAGTCCAATTCACTAGTCAGTAGTTCTGTAACAAGTCTGAAACTTTACAGATTTTCTGTATCAAGCTTTTAAAAAAAGCCCCCATAAATCAGTTTACCTAACATGCCATTTCAAACAGCAACAAAACATTTCCAACGTATATATGCCACTGCATGCTCTACAAAAAGAATTTTAATTTTAAGAAATCTTAATTTCACAAATTTTAATGTTGAGAAAATGAGGTTTTAAAAATCGGAATTACATACATACCTCATTAAGAATTTTCATTTCATACCAGGTCATTGTGAGAGCAATTTACCTAACACTCAAATTCTGGGAAATGTCTACTCTCAGCTCTGAGGATGACAGCAGTATGTCCCATTTCTGCAGTCTCTTTTCTTGTTAAACATCTATTTCTTCTGCTAACTTTTGCACTGTTATAAGTATCTAGTAACTAACAGTGGGAAGGGGAGGCCCAGTTTCTCCAGCATAGCATGAGTTCAAGATTATTTGTAACCTCCCACTGGGAAACCAGCTAGTTAATAAAGCAATAGCTTTCTAATAAGGAAATACCTGGGATACTGGGTCTGATCTTACAAGCCTGAATGTATGATATGGTTTGTGTTAGTTATTTTACTAATAACTTGTTGAGTTTGAGAAGATGTCACTGAAGTAGTTAAAATGCAGTCAAGTGGCTAATTCTTTTTACAGCCAGAACCAGATAACTTGCTTTGTTTTATGTCTAATTCGAACAAAAGAATTCTATTTTCCTTAATCATTCTCAATAGGTCACACTAATATAGGAAATGACCACATCAGCTTCTTAACGGACTGCTTCCCTGGAAACAAAAGAGCGTTTTACAGCTGATCCAGCGACTGCCAGTGAAAACAGTGGAGTCAAAACTAACCGTCCCCATACATTCGGCAATATTTTTAAGGGGGGGGGTGATACCGCATTCATTTCCTAAGGGATAATACTCCACTCCCCAGACTCACTCTTCCCTGTTTTCATCATCACCCACTTATGGGGTCCCCAGTACGCGAAGACCCCACCGCCAGACAGAAAAGCAGACTCTCGCCCAGTCTGAAAAATCACGACTGGAGAAGCCTTCCTCGCACCCAGGTGGGGCTGGTGGCCCAGCCCGGGGAACCGGGCGGTCTGGCGTGGCCGCAGCCACGGTGCGGGACCGAACCTCGGCGCTGGCTGTGCGCTCCCTCCGGGGCGGGCCGGGGTCCTTACCCGCCAGTCCGCCGCCGCCGCCACCGTCGCCGGCGTGGCCCTTCCTCCGCTGCAGGATGAAGTAGGGGTTGGCTCGCTCGGTGATCCACAGCGCGTTGGCCAGCAGCACCTCCTCGGGATTCACCCACATGGTCCCGATGTCCGCGGGCGGTCGCACAAAGGGGCCCGGGCCCCGCACACTGGCTCGCACCCCGGGACACGCGCCCGCCCCTCGGGCCGCTAGGTGCGGCGGCGGCCGCGATGCACTTCACCAGGCGGCGGCCCGAGGCGCCCGGCCCACGACAAAGCCCCCGCGGGCGGCCAGGGAGGACGACGGGGACGCAGGCGAGGAGAGCAGCATTCTCTCCACGGCGCCGCAGACGCCCAGGCGGGTGCTCGGCAGCCCGTCTCCGACCCACCGCGGCAGAGGAGCGCGCAGGAGGAAGTGGCTGGGCTCGGGTCCGGGGCTCGGGGGACGCGAGCTGCGGGGGAGGGGGACTCTAGCTGCCCCGCGGCCGCGATCTCTAGCTGCTCCGAGCTCCCGAGCTCCCCAGGCGTGGACACTCCGGGTCGGGCCGCTCGCTAAAAGGACGCTCGGGACACTGCGAATGAATGACGACAGCGCGGCTCACTTGCATGCAGCAAGCCCGGGTGGCGGCGGGTTGCAAGGATGCGGATCCTCCGCGAGCTCTGCGCGCGGGTCTCCGCAGCGGCAGCTACCTTCCCGGGAGCCTGGCGGGGACAGAGTGCAAAGCCCTGGGCCCCACGCCCATCCCAGCGGGGAGGACACTGCCCGCCCGCGTGAGCCTGTGTGTGTGCTGTTGTGTGTTCCAGGTTGACGCTCTGTGGGACAGCGCCACCCCTCTTCCCAGGAAACGCAAGTCTCAAGGTTCCAGACCTGGAGCTAGATACCCAAATCGGAAGTGGATGCAGCCAATGGTTGTCGATGTTTTTGTTTCCTGCATCCCTAGAGCAAGTCATGCGCTAAACTTGTCACCACCAGTGACCCCTCCCCCTCCATTCCATTGTAATTAAAGTGGCCCAGCTAAATGCATTACATCACTTCTTTCCTTGACCTGCAGGGCGTGAGCAATAGCGAAGTTGGAAGCCGCCCAAAAGCTTAGACCAACGAATTCACCCCACAGCTGTTCCCATATAGGGCGTTGGGAGCTCTAAAGAGGGCACGGTTAAAATTCAGAGATTTAGTCACGCTTAATGGATGGATGTATTTTTTTAATAAAGAAAGGAAGCCCGGAGACACATAAATCAGGCAGCCTTATCCTTGGTTTCACTTTCCCCGGGCATGCATGGAGTCTCTTGTGGTCTGGGCCCATCCACCTGCAGGACTGATACGACTAAATACATCCACCCAGGAAGTCTGGGAGATAATTCAGCAAGAACGGCTCCCTTTCTCAGATGATGTGAGTTTACCAGATTCTGCTGTGCCCCAAACGTCGGCCAATCCTGGGAACTTCCCTCTTTCCAAATGAGCGAACCATTCAAATAGACATTTTTGTGTTGCTATGGTTTGGGTATGGCCCCCTCCCAAATTCAGCCACCATGACAGCATTAATGGGAGGAGTCTAAAGGAGGTGATCAAGCCAAGAGGGGTCCCTCCTCACGAATGGAACTGAGGCTTGTAATGAAGGAGGCAGCATACTGAGTGGGGTTAGTTTGTCCTTCAGCTCTGTCCTGTGAGGACACAGCAACAGGACCCTCACAGGATGAGGGCAACATGGTTATGGACTTATCAATCTTGAGAACTGTGTGAAATAAATTTCCATACTTTTAAAATTTGCCAGTCTCAGGTACTTTGTTAAGCAGCACACATAAACTAAGAGACATAAGGTTCGAAGTTTTACTTGTGTGGTTCTGACTTGGGTTGAGGATTCTTTCAGGTAACTGAGTGAGCCAGCACAAGGCCAGCCATTCCAGCCGCCCTGTTCGTTTCCAGCCCTGAGGACTATAAACGAATGCCAGTCTCTTTGCATGGTCTTCTGCCTGATTCATTTATTTATTTACATATCTATTCATCTAGAGGCAGAGTCTCACTCTGTAGTCACAATGGCCTTGAACTCACGATCCTCTTGGCCCAGCCTCCTACCTGAGTAGCCTGGATGGAGTTGCAGGCCTGCACTATCCATCTGCCAGGCACCTCTTCATCTGCCTCTTTGGGAAACACTAGGATTCAGGCCTTTAAAGAGGCTTGACATGCTTAACACAGACTCAAAAAATGTGATTTTGTAGTTCTGTTCTTTCTAAATATATAACAGCCTCTCCATGCTGAGAATGGAGACCATGGAGCAACTTGGGGTCAAGTCTGCCTGCTCCAGAAAGTGACCCATTAAACTGTCTCACAGTTATGTCTGCAGACTTCCTGTCCTTTGTCTCTTGGTTTTCTGTAGATTGTAGGATTTATACAGACACAGTGGAGAGAAACTATGTTCTTTCTCTCTCTACTTTAGCTGAACCACAATAAACATGTTTTTCTTTACCAATTACTTTCTTTTGTTAGTGAATACAGGGAAAGTAAGGTGTTAGGTTATGTACCTGGATATTTGGTAATGGTTTGGCACCTTCAGGCACAAACTTGGCAAATAAAAATCATACACAGGCAAAAATTGTTTTAACAATTATATGACCTGCAACATTTTCAAGTGCTTCTATACATATTTTTTTTATTTTTGTATAACTAGCATTTTTTAAAACTTTGCAAAGTACCTTAACAGTGTCATTTGAATAATCTCTATCCTACTCAAACATAAGGCTTGACATCCTAACTTCTTCCACCATAAAGAGTATATTTTAATCTGTTGGAATGAAAATACTACATACTTGTAAAATTCATGTGTTCCGTCATTTATTCATTCAACATATAATTATTGAATGCTTACTATGCTCTATGGACTAGGGACAGAAATTGGACAAAACATACCAAAATTTCTGTTTTGTGAAGATTAAAATACAATTAATAATAACTAAAACAAATTTACAGACATTTGCTTTGAGAAAAAGGTTGAACCCCAAGAGGAAAGAAGATCCATACTTTTAAAAATCCTTAGTCATTCTCTAGTTTCTTGGAAGACTGAGAGGGTATTTTATAGTGTTTCAAAGCTGCCATTATAATAATGAATGGTGATAATGTATCATAGAAGGGTATTGTCAAAAATTAAAGAAATTACAAGGAGTCCATGATGATTTGCTGGTACCAACCATACTGTTACCAGGGTTGTTAGGATCAGAGCCTGAGCCTTGGACCAATTAAACAGACAAGTAGTAGTAAAAGATAGAAAAAGATTTTTCAGTGTGGCCACACTGGTGAGAGGAAGAAAGAGATTCCGTGCCATGGCCCCTCAGACCCCCTAGTCCATCCCCAGGATCCTGCTATGAGGACAAGAAGTATGCATGGCTAAGCAGCCCTGGCCAGATATGCTCCTGCCTGTCTCTGCTCCAGTCTGTCTTGCAAAGTGGTCTGACGAGTTGTTAGAATGATATGAAATTTCTCCCTGAGACACAGGTTCCTCCTCTGACTGGCACCAGGCTTCAGCATTTTCCTTCCAACATAATATTCTCAAGGAAATTCAAATTTCTTGCAGACCATTATTTTAATAAAATGATAACCAAGTGGAAGGGCACAAGTACATCCTCAGACCATCTTCCTTCCACCCTGGAAGGAAGTTATAGCTCTGCAGTCTACTCCTTTATTAAAATGTGACTATATGCAAAAAATCCAGACAATCAAATATTCCTGACCTAGGAATGGCCCAAGGAAGTCCTAACTAATCTAACCAGTTTCTCCATGAAATAAATGAGTCTTTATCTTTCTGTTCATTCTGATTTGTTTTACTCCCAAAGATGATTGTTCTCATTCCACCTGAGGAGATAAGCATGCAAGAGAAGCTTAGGGAGGGTCAGTGATGCCAGTGTGTGTGTGTGTGTGTGTGTGTGTGTGTGTGTGTGTGTGTGTGTGTGTATGTTGCTCTGATCTTTCCCACTTCCCCTCCCCAAATGGAAAGAACCAACCTACAAGGGCCTGAACCTTGAGTAGTTAAGTAATTTATTGCTTAGTGCCAGATCTGACCTAGGTCAAAATTATGAAGATCCTGAATTTCTCTTCAGCAGTTATCATCCCATTCCTGAAATTCATGGTGGTGTATTTTCCTCATAATCCTCTAAGTTTTCCACATTATCTTTTTGGCATTTGTCCACTCTTAGAACTCTCCTGAAATCATGGACATTATCTTATTTCTGCCTACACATCCCATCCCCTACATTCAGTACTCATTCTTCATGACCAGATCTCCCAGAGGCAAAGGTAGTGTGGCTGTAGAGCAAGAGTCTTGCCAAGCATTCCATCCCCCAGCACTTCCAGGGGTTGCAGTTAAGCAGAAAGAACTCACCTGCCAGAGTGGTTAAGAACTATGGCTTCCTAGAAGCCTGCTCTCCCCACTGAAAGCAGCATCTTAATAAGCACCATGTGTTTAAATGCCCCCATCTTCCTTGCTCAACATGGAAGGATGGTAGCTCTAACATACTATTTGGAATTTCTCCTGTCAGAGGTAGAAGAAGGATGGCTATTTGGTATGGCAAAGACTTCTTAGTGTGGAGATCTAAGATTCTGCAGTAGCTTTGATATTGGATATAGAATCTTTCAGTGGATCCAAATTGCTAAAGCAGCTGGAAAAACTAGATCAACCAGACACTAAAATGCCAGCTTTACAATTAATAGAGCTCATTCATGACATGGAAGTAACCACTTTCTTCTTCCAGTTTTAAGTGGCTGAACAAGTAGATCTGTAGTTAGCACTCTTACAGATAATGTGGCCGGAGGTGAGAAGAGTCCTCAAAATTGCTCTGGTAGGTAACAGTACCTTCCTCCTATTCATTCAAACTTTCCACTTTTGAAGTCTAAGATGCTCTGAAATTAAAAACATAAGTAAAAATTAACCAAACATTATTTATTTGTATGTTGGAGTCACTTGGAGCAGAACATCAGAGGCACTTGTGTTTTCAGAAGGAAGGAAAGAAGACAGGAGTTTCTCTGGGAGAGATATGGAATAGAAAATTAGCAGATATTCATTTAAAAGGGTAAGCTTTGGGGCTGGAGAGATGGCTCAGCAGTTAAGAGAACTTACTGCTCTTGCAGAGGGAGGACCCAGGTTTGGTTCCCAGCACCCACATAGC